AAGACCAGCTCTTTATCAACCTTGAGGATTGGGGGGGGACAGAGACAGGAAGATCCTTCCAGGTGCCTCCAGGAAGGAGTATATGCTTTTGGAGTGAAGTTGGTTGCTGACTTGATGAGCTCAGACCTGGTTTGGCCAGAAACCTAGATGCTGAGCTTGTTCCTCTTTTATTCTGAGCCAGAGAGCAGAAGGTCTTTCTGGATCATTAGGAGAAAAGCAGCTGGTGGATTATTTCCATTTCCTCCTACCCACATCACCTGTTTGGCAGTGAGTGGACCTGATTCTGTCACTCTCCAGAGGGGGCCCTGTAGGCTCTCCCACTCCCTCATCTGTCCCACTTCCCCCGTGGATCCAGCCATTGACTGGCGTGGTGAGCAGGACCCAGGCTGCGGGAATGGGGTGGGAAGTTCTGTGGTGAATGTAGTTTATGCAGATGGCTCATCTGGAGGAACAGTGCCACAGAGTCCACAGTCCTGAATCCTCCAGGTGAGCCGGACAAGCACTGTGGGTTAAGGGAACCCGATAGGAATTCTGACTCCGTGGTCTGGTCTGAGCAGGCTCCTGGTCCCTTCTTCCTTACAAAGCAAATTTCTTTGTATTAGATTATTCCAGTGTTTATGCCTTTGTAAAACAGGCCTGAGGTTTCTCTTAAGTATTGCTGAAAGAAAAGAACTCTGGTTTTCCTATCCTTCATGCCCAGCGTCCCGTACAGCATCGGTGCACATTCGTACCAGCCAGTGGGAGCCAAGAAATCAGTCAGAACCCGAGGGAATTAAGAGTCCAGGCAATACTGAATTCTGATGGAAATTGAAAAATGGCCTCTGTAGGTTGTTCATGGGGCATGGGCGTGGCCACAAGCAGAGAAATGCAGTCAGGGTTCTCAGGCAGGTGTAGATACCAGCCAGGTAGTATTCATTCTAGCTAGGTCTGCATTGTTTTGTTTTTTTCTTTTTTCTTTTTTCTTTTTCTAGAACTCAAGAGTAAGGATAGTTGATCAGGCATAAAATGATATGATACTGTTTTTCCAAACCTTGGGAAATGTCATAAGGAAACATTCTTGTGGGCCGATTGATTTTGTTGTTAGTCTGTCGGTGCCGCCCGCTTACCAAGCCTCGTGGAACACAGACACATGCTTCTTGGAAATGTGGAAAGAATACAGTTTTAGCTATTTTGGGTCCTGTCTGTTGTAGACCACCCGTGGCATAAATTGTGTGGCTTCCAACCCCAACCAGAGCATCTACCACTCTCCAGTTTTTGTGCTCTGCAAAGAAAATTAAACAGTCCAGACGTCCACCACCTGGGGAGCGGGTACACAAGATGTGGTATATCCATACAATGGGGTATTACTCAGCAAAACGGAGAAACAAACTAACGATAAATGCTCTAACATGGGCCACCCTAAAAACCTGCTGCGTGAAAGAAGCCACATGCAAAAGACTATATATTACATGGTTCCACTTACAGGAAATGTCCAGAAGAGACACACCTTGTAGAAATAGAAAGCAGATTCCATATTGCCTGGAAATGGGTTTGGGGACTGACTGCAGATGAGCATGAGGACTCTATGTAGGGTGATGGAAATAGTCTAAGATTACAATTTACTGAATTGACTGAAAATCACTATATGCTTAGTTTTCTGGATACAGATTACACTTGGGTAAAGCTGTTTAAAAAAGAAACGGGGGGCACTTGGGTGGTTTAGTGTCCCAACTCTTGATTTTGGCTCAGGTTGTGATCTTAGGGTCGTGAGTTCAAGCCCTGTGTCAGGCTCCGTGCCGGGCGTGGAGAGTCTGCTTGAGATTCTCTCTCTCTCCCTCTGCCTTCCCCTGCCCCAGCATGTGCATGTGCACACATGCTCTCTCTCTCAAACAAAAAAAAACCCAAAATCAGAAGCTCACCATTGACTTTTGTCTAATATGGGATCACTCCTGATTAATATCCTTCTAGATGCCTGTGACTGTGGCATAATGGGGGGGATGAGCAGGGAGAATGGACAGCTTCTTAGTCTTCCTTTAAGGGCAGAGCCCTGTGGTGAGTTCTGAGGAGACTGTAGGTAGAGTGGCCATATTTTCTGAACCAAAATGGGAAGTAGAATCAGGCAGTGTCCTGGGTGCTTTGCACTCATTTTCTCATTCAACATTCATTTAATTCTCATAACAAGCCTGTGGGAAAGGTGCAGTTTGGCATATGCCCATTTTAAAGAAGAAACCGGAGGCCCCAAGAGGTTGAGTCTTCTGAAAATTCAGTCTATAAATGATGAACTGTCGAGATTCAAACCCAGGTCTTTCTGGCTCAAAAAATCAGTGATCTTTATACTAAAAATACTACCTGCTAAGAAGTAGTATATGTATGGGAAGACTGTGTTCTTTGACAGAGAAAACGATGCTTTAGGGACCGATGCTGAGTTATGAACAGTAAGGGACTCACTCACCCAAGTCAGGGCTGGCCTGCCAGGAGGTGCCAATGTGGACATGCCTGCCTTTTGCAGGGGACAACCCATCCACCCCTGGGTGTGCTGAATTTTTAATTCCTCCCTTTTTTGTTGTTCTTACGTGGTTCCAGAAAATGTATTATGGAATGTGCCAAACATTCCATAATCATAGAATACTTACAGAAGAATAAAGACTACTTATATGCCCACCAGCTAGCTTAATAAATAAAACATTATCTGGTTGTGCTTTTAAATTTACCACACCTGATGGGTAGACAAGTGAAACCAAGTTACGCAGTGTGGGGAGACCGGGCTTTGAGATGGAAAAACCTAGATTCAAATCCCAAATCCCAGCTCTGTCTTGTATTCCCTTGGAGAGGTCATAAAACTGTCCTGAGCTGCTGTTTTTCTTTACAAGAGGGACATTGATATACTCACTTCCCGGGTTGTAGGGATTGAATGAGATCATGCTCATCAAGAGCTTAACCTGATACATACTAATTAATAGTAGTCCTTGTTCTTATAAACTGTATAACCTGAAAACTATCAAAGACACTAAAAATAAATCTTACATGGATTTCACCAATCCCCATGATTAGCTCTACTTTCTCCCTCCCGTGACTTCAATTTTGAGGGGAAAATGGTTTCCCAAGTTCCTTAACAGGTGCAAACCTGCGTGCCAGCTTTTGATTTTATCCCCAACTCCCACCAGTGCCCACCTGGGTGACTACGGGCGTGTCACTTCGTGCAACTGACTCCTCCCATCCAAACCTCCCATTCTGTGACCCTGATGTGCTTGTAAGAACATTTAGAAGCAGACGCGGAACAAGCCACAGGGGAGGTGTGTGCTGCTTTTTTGGTTTCCGTAGGCTGGAGAAGGAAGCAGAGCTGAAGGGTTAAAGCTGACTTACCTCCAGAAACTGGGGGCCTCAGCCAGCTCTGTGAGGCTTTCTCTGCTCCCCATATTGCCCAAGATGGTTTATAAGCATCCTCCTTTGTCTGGGCCGGTCCTAGCTCACACCTGACCCCCTGGCCTAATTAAAAGCTCACCCCTTTCACTCTCAGAAGCATCATGGTTTGCATGATAAGTCATAAGATGATTGCAGTAAAAACCATTTCTAAGGCATGAACCTGGACCTTATGGGAATCTCATACAGGAGTCTGGGGGCTGTGGTTATTTGTAAGCAAGACCAGGGAAGCCCTTCACTGTTCACGGTGTGCTTTCACAGATAGGCTCTTGCTGGATCTGCAGGATAACCTTGTATGATGGGGAAGCTGTGTCAATGTTGCCAGTGAGGCCCAGAGAGATCGAGTGGCTTGCCCAGAGTTGCCGAGCAAGCACGTGCCGGAGTACAGACTGGAACCCACGTTTGTGATGTCAGTTGTGATCTCCGTTTCTTCAGGATCTGGCAGTCATTCAGGCTGGCCTAGTCAGATCACGCCCAGGACACTGGCAGGCGTGCAGGGAATGGGGCTTGTTTCTGAAAGGACCCCATTCATATCTTCTGCCCGGTATATGGGTCCTGGAGGAAACTCTTGCTCCTCTATCCGAAGTCTCTTCCCGACCTGGGGCTAGCCAGGACGTGTGCATTTCCCACCCAGGAGATGCTCCCCTTCCTCCATCCTACTCCTAAACCCTAGCCAGCTGGGAGAAGGAAATTCAGCCTCAGGTGGAAGTAAGGCAGAGGGAGCCCCCAGGATTCCTTCTTCCTGTCCCTCAAGCTGGGTGGCCCTATTCCTTCACCCTCAGGATCAGTTCGGGCCCTGGCCATCGCATCTGGTGTTAAAAGAACATAAAAGGAGGGATTCCCCAAGGAGCAACACCCTCGATCCATAGACTCTGCCTGTGAATAAATATTTTATTCCTTCTCGGCCGTTTTTTATGCGTGCCTTGAGGCAAGTGCATTTTAACATCTAAAAAATTCTGTTAGGAATAAAAATTTTCTTACCCTCCACTCTGTTCTCATTTTTTGTTTTTAATACAGAATTTTTGTGTGAGTTCTTTATGAAAGCAAGTCCTATAGCTGATCCCCACACCCATCCCCAATTAGTGATTTAGTAGACAAGGGAGACACAGAGCCACGTGTTTGAGGGAAGGATGGTTGGGTAGAGCAGAGTGAGGATTTCGGAGTTGGGTAGGAGCCCCTTGGCATATGCACAAAGTGGCTGGAGGCACAGAGCGTGGACTTGGCTGCCAAGTGGAGACCGGTGAGGTTCCCCCCCCCCCCCCCCCCCCCCGAGTGCACCTCTGTCCCGGATTGCTTGCTTTGCCTGAGAACAAGCACGGTCTTGCTCGGGAGTCTGGCTTTTTTTGGTCGCGTCCTTGCTGAGAATTTCCTCCCGGCACTCACTAGACATCTGGCTGCAGCTTGCCTCATGTATCCGCTCTAACCCCTGTGGGGGAGAAGCCGCGAATTTCTCTGTGGCCGACGCCCCACCATCCACTGACTGTGGTCGCAGGGAGGTGTTCAGGAACTGCGTCTGGTCCTAGAGAGATGAAGCTCGAGAGCAAGAACGGGTCCCCAAGCTGGGGCTCCTTGTCTAAAAGAATCTCCTTACTGTCTTGCAGAAATCCGGAACGGCAACCTCAAGGCCATCCTGGGCCTCTTCTTCAGCCTCTCCCGCTACAAGCAGCAACAACAGCAGCCCCAGAGGCAGCACCTGTCTGCCCCGCCGCCGCCGCTGCCGCCCGCCGGGGCCCAGGCGGCCGCGGCCCCCTCCCAGTGCCAGGCTGGCGCTCCTCAGCAACAGGTGCCCGCCGCCCCCCAAGCCCCGGGCCAGCCTCTGCAGCCGGTGCCACATCAGCAGTCAAAAGCACAAGCTGAAATGCAGTCCAGGTGGGGGCGCCTCCCGACTGGTAATTCTGTGGTTCACGGGGCATCCTCCACGCCGGGCCCAGCCGTAGCCGAGGTCCAGGGTGTTCTGGCTTGGGCCTCTGCAGTGCTGAGGACTACTGGTAGTGGGGGTGGTTAGCATGGCCTTGAAATGGATGCAGCGGGGCTGCCTCCAGTGCCTGGCGAGATGTGTGCTCTGAAAGGTCAGAATGGCTGGCAGCCAGAGCTGACTAGCTACTCTTGCCTTGACGCTGGCCTATTATGCACTAAACAGCCCCGAAAATAGACTTCAGACTGGTTTTGCCGTGTTTTGCCTGTAAGCTGGGCGTTAGGTGTTCTATGCGTTGAGTCATTCTACTTAGTGGAGGCGAAAGTTCTGCCGTGGATGCCTCTGCTTCACCAGAAGAGGAATATCAGGAGCACAGAAGAAAGACAGGAAATGCTTAGCAAGGAAGGCAGCAACCACCTTCCGTGAGAGGACCAGGAACTGGGTTTTGTTAGCCTTGGGGAGTTGATAGCGGCCTCAGCCGTGGTCTTCCATTTTGTAGGATTAGGGCTTCAGTGTTGCTGACGCTCGCAGAGGGGCTGATGCCTGCCAGTGGGGCTCTCGGCGTGGAATGATAAGCACGCAGAGCGCCAGGGTAGTTACCATCTACTGTGTTATAATGGGAATAGTTGCATCCCTCAAGGACTCTGCAGAAGGTCGCCTTAAAGAACATTCATTTTAATGGGTGGAGGGAAAGGGAGGGGATTAGGAGCTAGAAAGCGTTTGACTCGTACTAAAATTCTAAAGAAAAGTCCACAATAATTGTTGCTTGAAGCTGTAAACCTTTAGTTACCAAATCATCTAAACGTCACTAATTAAATTGATTGCTTGATTTCACTTAATATGTGCTAAAGAGTAATGGCTTTTCCTTTCCAGTCCCCCAAAGCACCAGTGTTAATAATCATAGGGCTTCTCGCACACGTTCGTACCCTCAGAAGCCCATGGTAGTTGGACAAAGCACAAAACAGTCCAGACAAAACAGGTGCCTTATAGATGGTTACAGCTTTTTCCTTCCCATGAGAAGTGCTACTTCCCATTTGTGATGGTGTTCAAACCAGCAGTGATGGGTGTGCTGTAAACCAGATCCCCTAATTAATTATCTCATTATATCCAACTGACATTATGGAAATTTGTAGGCTAGCAGAAATGCCTGGACTAGTAATGAGGAACAGACGGCTGGGCAGCAAGCCTCTGCACCCTGACCTGAAGAAACACCTGCGTGCAAGGCATTCTCTAATCAGAGGTCCCTGATGGCCCTAGGTGATTGAATGACCAGGATATCATTTCCCACACTGTATTCTACAGAGTGCTTATTCCCTGGATGGTAACTTGTAGGGGAAGGGTTCCATAGGGGGAAAAGTTGGTAAATAATCTGGGTTGAGTTGTTAGAACTGTTATTACAGGTCTACTCAGATCCTTGAATCTGCCAAAAATGCATTCATTTCTTTAGTTAGTGTTTGAATGCCTTCCATGTGCCAGGCACTGTTCTAGGCACTTGGGGTTCACGGATGAATGAGACCACCAGTGTGCCCACTCTTTGTATTTTCCTGGAGGAGGCAGGCAAATAGGGAAGAGAACTATCACATACTGGTATTGCAGTAAGATGATGGGATTCAGAAGGATTAGGTTGATAACTTAGGTTGGACTGATAGGAAATTCTCTCTGGGGACGTGACACCAGAGCAGAGATAGGAATGACCTGGAGCAAGCCACGCAAAGTTTAGGTGTAGAATAGATCAGCCAGAGGATGCAGCTGGTGCAAAGGCCCTGTGGTATAAGAGTAAGCTTGGCAGATTGGAGGACCAGAAAGAAGGCTGGTGTGGCTGGAGTTCAGTGGGTGAGGGGAGTTGGAAAATGGTAAGGTACCTGTAAGCAAAGCCTCTGTCTACATGGAAGACAGTATGACTGGTGGTCCCTGGAGTTGCCTAGTACTGTGGCCCTGGGGTCCAGTCACAGTGTGCTAGCTAAACTGGGGGAAGAGTTTGCATTTCATTTTATAGGTAACAGGAAGCTGCTGGGGGGTCTTGAGCAGGAGACAGACTTGATTTGATTTATGGTTTAAAAAAAAAAACCTTCTTAGCCCCCTTCTGGATAATAAGACTATGAAGGTGTAGAGATGGAAGGAAGGACCCCAGGTAAGAGGCTTTTGTGGTCCTCCAGATGACTGTGGCTTGAGTCAAGGGCTGGAGCAGACTTGTTGATGGACCACTTCACGAGGTTGAGCCAACAGGACTGTGAGTAGATGGACTGGCTTGCAGTGAGGGAGAGCATCACAGATAAAGCCTAGATTCCTGGCGTGAGCAGTGGTAAATGGTGCTATTTGTTGAGATGAGGGAGCCTGAGAGAAGAACACGTGTGCACTGTGAGTCTTCAGAAGAGGCCGTAGAAAGCATTCCTCAAACTTAGCCGCAGAACTTATTTCGTAGGGCTTCTCGCTGCATATAGGATTCCAAGGAACATGTGTTGAGCAACACCGGGCTTGTGTCACTAAGCTATGCTAGCTCAAGGCACCCATTTCCATGGTAGGCGTTTGTTTTCTTAAAGAGAACCAGATGTTCCAGTCAGGACAGCTATCATCTCCCAGTAAGAAAAAATATCCTACTATTAATAAGTGCTTTACCTAGAGAAGAGTCAAACTTACTTAAGCCAGGTTTTTAGATCCATTTATTCCAGAGTGATTCCTACCATCATGGCCTCCTGACTCTGTACTGTGGTGACATGGATTGGCCTTTGGAGTTGCTGTATGTCCTCCCTCATTCTTTATCTGGCCCAGATTGGGTTACTTTGGCAGATGACTAGTTTCCCATATTATATACTGATTCTTTCTAATTTTACTTCTGAAGGACAATCCTATTCTCAGGTTCTAGGGATCTAATATCCCATGCTTACACTCTGGCTGTAAATTTAAGAATAGTAAAATGGCATCACTGGCTTAGTTCCATTGTATTTCTATCCCACATTTTGTCTTTAGTAACCGGAGTAACAAGGGTAATGGTTTAGATCCTTGATCATCAGTATCAAATGCTGGCGCAAGCCCCGAACACTAAGTTTTAGTCCTCTGTTAGAACCAACCAAGCCAGGAGCCTCCCCACTGTCATAGACTCCTGTTAGTGATGTGTATGTCTAACATATCTTCTCTCCCCTCACTCATCTCTTGCACTTTTTTTCTTTCCTGTCATGCAGTGCATCATCCAAGGACTCATCTCAAAGCAAAATCATCCGCTTCACTCTGGGTCAGAAAAAGATTTCTAGGTTAGATTTTTCTCTGTGTCCTGCAAAGCATGGTTTCAACCCAACTCATTGATCCCTTTGCTCTGGCTAAGTTTCCTTTTGGTCCCTCTCCCCGTTTCATGTTTGCAGTTTGAGAAAACCAAACATGCTTTGGCTGATGACCCAATGTTGGAGAGCTTTGAGAGTGTCTGGGTGGGGGAGGGGTCATTGAAAAGGAGTGTGTATGTGTGTGTCAGTGTGTATGTGAGGTGAAGATGTCCATACTGCTTCTGCATTTCATTGATCTGGGCTTTGATTGCTCGGTCATCAAAATCCTTTCTGATTTAGGGAGAGGTAAGTTTCTTGGTGGATTTTATCGTGGTTTTATGATGCGTTTGGCTCCCTGCTGTGGCCTGGCCCTGATCCCGCCTCACCTGCATCTCCTTTGTGTGTGTGGTGCTTTTTATTGTTGCTGTTGTTGCTAAAATTACTAACGTGGCATTGGTTTTCTTTTGAATTATAAAGACCTGAAGCATGAATGAATCCAACTGGTCGGAGGAGACAAGGCAACAAGGCAGCTATGTCTCATTTTTGTTTCCGGGTGCTCTTTTGTACCTTGGAGGGATTGCCTCAGTTGCCTAAAAATAAAAACCAGCCTTGCTCACTAACTAGTTCTCTTGACACAGAGTCTGGCATCTACTGCCTCCTATGAGGACCCGTCCCAGGGTATGGAAAATGCGGTCACATCTTTGCGATCTACTGTTCTTTTAGCTAACATTTACTGAATGCTCGTTATGCACCAATTTGAATGCATTCTCTTATTTAATCCTCACATCAGTCTTCATGCAGCAGGTCATGTTATTATCCCCATTTTACAAATGAGAAAACTAAAATCGAGGAAGTTAGGTAAGTTACCCAAAGTGACACAGAAAGTGGAAAAATCCAGGATTTGAGCCCAGGTGATCTAACTCCAGAACCCTCACTTTAACCACTGTCTTACACTCTTCTTCTCTTCCTCCCCCCTTGAAATCTGGTACTTAAGGGGTTGTCGAGGCTGCTTTTAAAAATCTAAGATTTCAACCATTACTCTTGGTCTTTTGCCTCCCCTTGTAGCATCCCAACAGAACCCAATGCTGAGGTGGAATCGCTTCATTTACTTTTCATTGAATTCTCACTTAAAGCTAAAGGGAGGCCCACACTGCATTTGTATCTGTATTCATGTGACAAATACATGCCGAACGTCAGCCTGCTGCCCCACTCTGTCAAGCTCTAGGTGTCTTTTCTCGCCAGAGCTTTCTTTTTCTTTTCTAAAAGGTTAGACATAGGGAGACCCAACTCGGATCTGTCTGGCTGTTGGGGAGAAGCCACAGGGCAGTTGCCTCTCTGCAGAACAAGTCCAGATATTACCCAGACTTGGTTCTGGGGGACGGGAGGGAACCCACATTCATCAGTGCTTCTCATAATCCTGTGTCTCTTGTCAGTTTGGGCTGCTAGAATAAATCACCATAAACTGGGTGACTTAAACAACAGAAATGTTTTCCTTACAGTTCTGGAGTCTGGGAAGTCCAAGGTCAAGATGCCAGCTCAGTCGGGTTCTAATGAGGACCCTGTTCCTGGTTTCTGGATGACCGTGTTCTTGCTGTGTCCTCGCATGGAGAGCAGTGAGAGAGGACGCAAACCCCATCCACTCTCTTGTTATAAGGCACTAATCCCATTATGAGGTCTTTTTTTTTTTTTTTTTTTTTTTTTTTTTAAACAGAGAGAGAGAGACAGCGAGAGAGGGAACACAAGCAGGGGGAGTGGGAGAGGGAGAAGCAGGCTTCCCACCGAGCAGGGAGCCTGATGTGGGGCTCGATCCCAGGGCCCTGGGACCATGACCTGAGCCGAAGGCAGACCCTTAACGACTGAGCCACCCAGGCGCCCCCGTTATGAGGTCTTTAACCTCATGACCTAAGTCTCTCGCCTAAGCCACATTTCCAGATACCATCATCTGGGGATTAGGGTTATGACACATGAATTGGGGCGGGGGCAAGGAGGACATAAACATGCAGTTCACAACACCACGCTAGAGAGTGCCTGCTTTTCCTGAAAAATAACACAGGGTCCAACTCAGACACCGACTGCCCTTGGCAAATGGGGTCCCCAGTTTTTGAGCATTGTGCAGATGTCCCCACATAGGTGTCAACCTAAATAAGGAGGTAAACTGAGGTAAGCTCAAATTACCAAACTCAAATTGAGTTTATTTGGGAATAGCAGAGGAATTGTAATTCGGGAAATGCACGCCAGAGCAAGAAAAAAGTGAGTCTATTGAAGGTTTGGGGCGTGTTGTATTGATGGACCAGAGTGCAAGGGGGCAGGTGAGGGTCCAGCCAGAGTCCAAGCAGTAAGTTCATCGGTTTGAGGATGGAGAGGGATTCTTGGCAGATGTGCATGGTCAGGAGATAAGTTTCTATATTCCGTAAATCAGACATTGACGGGCCATCAGCCTCTCCGCTCTTACGTGCCGTTCTTCTGAGGGCATGTGCATGAGATTCTCCATTTCCTATCCTCCAGTTCCACTGTAGGTTGAAATACTTTCACGGACAAAAGGAAAGGAGGAGAGTGAGCTTGGAGGGAACCTGAAATCTAGTGTTTGTTCCCACGATGTGCTCCGTTCTAGAAGATAAAACAAACAGGCGCTTGCTGGGAAAATATCTGCTTGAGGCACATGCCCATCCTGAGCATGATTTGTTATCAGTTCCGGATGATGGAAGGAGGCAGTGGGAAGAGAGGAAGGACTGAAGGGTGAAGCCATGTCTGCCCCTCCCCCAGGGTGTGCTGGGTACAGGGCTTCCAAGCTGACAGAAAGCCAAGGTATGGCTTTCTTTCAGGGTCACATCCCCCACCTAGAGTTTCTTTTGGATACATTTTTGTTTGTTTCATTATTTGCCTAATACTCTTCTTTGCCTTCCCTGGCCCCCTCCCTTTCCCACCTTCAGCCTTGAGCACAATTCTGATAAGCATTTTAGCTGATCCAGGCATCACCAAATGTAACAGTAAAGTTAGCTGCCAAAAGAAATAGCCTTACCCCTGCTGACGGAGTAAAGCACCTCTCCCAGAGCTCTGGAAATAGATCTTCTTCAAGAACAAACATTGGTGCAACACCGGCCATAGTCCAACATCTCGATAGGCACCAGGGATCTCCAGCAGGGTGGGAAGCCTCACCCTTGAGTCTGGATGTGGGGAAGAGGCTTATAGGGGGTTTTATCACAGGAGTGAAGGGTTTCCTTGAACTTCTGCCTTCGACTACAACTATTGTCCCTTGGCAACCGTGGCGGTACCCAGGTTGGTAGGCATATTCCATGTGCAGATGCGCAGAAGCACGGTGGCTATGAGTGCGGTTAGTCAAACCTAGTGAAAGCCCCTCTTCACCCCCTCACCACGTTGCCGGGGATAATCATTTATTCGCCAGGAGCCCTTTTCCTTACTGCCACATTCAGAGTGTTATGTGGATCAAGTAGAGTCCTCTCCAGTCTGGTCCATAATGAGCGCACCGTAGGTAGCAGGTACAGTGATGTTGGTGTTTGGGGTTGAGCTGGGCCAGCTGGGGCCACCAGGCCACCTCTAGCAACGGCCCACAGAGCTGACCTGCACAACCATCTTGCGGAGCGGAAGTGGTGGGGCTAATATTTCTGTCCTCTTTGTCCAGCAGCTGAAAAGCAGAGGACATGAGATGGCATGTCCTCTGGCAAAAAAAAAACATCTCCAATCACAACACCTTCCACCTGAGGTCCCAAGCATGTGCACACACCTTCTCCGCAAGTTTCAAGTAGCTTTGCGGGGAAGAACGGCTTTCTTCCCATCAGCGCGCCCAGCGCGTGGAGCTGGGATCTAGTCACAGGGTACGTGCTAGGAATGACAGTTTACTACCCTGCCTGCTTGGCTCTGCACATGTTGAAGAAATCGACCGTAGCTCCAACAGCAGCAGGATTTCTCTCCTGCTTCTTTTTTACACCACTTCCTTTAAACTTGTCTTTTTTTCTTTTTTTGAAAAGCAACATGTGTGTGTTTGGGAGAACCCATCTGTGTCCTCTGTCATTTTGTAACTATGTTTGGAACATGGAATGACCTGAGAAGTAGAGTTGTTCTTGCAAAGGAGTCCTTGGAACTTTCTGGCACCATAAATGGTGGAGGGTTGACTTGACATGCCCCCCCTCCCCCCCACTTCCCTGCTGTTCCACATGAGCAAGACCCAGCTCTTTGCAGAGACAGATGCTAATGTGCAGGCAGCAACTGTTTCTAGGCTGGGTCTTGATAGAAGTTCTTGGGATGCACAAGATGTTAACAATAATGAACTTGAGAATGTGAACCGGGGGCTTAGGGTCTGTGTTACTGTGAACTAGGGGATACTCTGCTTTTTCACTCTAACTCTGCTCCCAGCCTCCCTAACAAATGCCTCATTGCTGGAGGGCAGGACAACGTCCAGATTCATACTGTGGCATACAAGGCCCTCTCTACTCTGGCCCTGCCTGCTTCTCTAGCCTTGATTCCTCCCAGCCTGTCCCCACTCCCCAGCACACACCAGCCCTTCCTTCCTCTGCAGGAGATATGTGCCTCTCACCATGACTCCTTACCCTCTCGCCCTCCACTCGCATTTCCGTTCCACATGCCACATCTTGCTCTGGGGTCACATCTATTTGGAACCTTCCCTGGCCATCCCACCAACTTCCAAGATTATCATTTTTTCTTCTCTGAGTTACTTCTGACCTTTGCGTATTCTCTTATCAATACATGTGTAATTTAGATGTCATCTGGGATCAATCAGCCCCTTAAGATCTAGATGAGATTGAACTAGAACCCTGCCTCAGTCTTTTGGGCCGCCAGAGTGAAATACCACAGACTCAGTGACTGAAACAACAGAAATTTATTGCTCACATTTTTCAAAGCTGGAAATCCACGATCGGGGTGCCAGCCTAGTCAGGTTCTGCCTCTAGAAGGCAGTCTGAGCACTGCCTTCTAGGTTGCAGATGGCTGACTTCTCACTCTGTCCTCATAGGGTGGAAGGGGCTACCTATTCTGCACCGTCTTTTATAAGGGTGTTAACCTCATTCACGAGGGTTCTGTGTAATGACCTAATCACCTCCCAAAGGCCCCACCTCCTAATGCCATCACACTGGGCATTAAGATTTCCACATAGGAATTTGGGGTGGGGGACATAATCATTCAGACCATAGAAAACTCTTTTTCAATTTGCAGAAAATCCAGTGCCTTCTCCACGATTGCTCATGTACCTTAGGTCCTCAAGGTCATCTTTGTCTTTGAAATGCTACATTTGAAATCTTATAATTCATTCTGAATTAATTCGGGAGGATTGACTCCCTATCCCAAAGAATATTTTGGTTCCCTCATGGGTGGACCCAAACAAGCCTTTTTCCTTACTTCCCACCCACCACACATTCATTCATGGTCTTTGTATATGAGGCGGACTTTCCTGAAAATTTCAGAGGGATGGTGGGGGCCTTGCTTTGGAGCAAGCAACTATTCAAGCCCATTCACAACAAAACCCAAGTTTTAAAGCATTGTGTTGTCCTAGACACCCTCTGAAACTTGGAAGAAATTACTTGGTCTCCACCCAGTCTTTCCATTTGGTCAAGTTCAAGGAGCTAGCTCGTCCCAACTAGGGTGTAACAGTGATGGGGGTAGAAGGTGACATGAATTGGCTTGAACTTTGGGGTGGCTTTTGACGCCTAAAATGCTTCCACACTGTAGAACTCTTTGGTGCTCATAGATTTGCATGGGAAGAGGAGGTTTAAAAGAGAAAGTCCAGGCTGGGAGGAAACAAGGCTAAAGAGGCAGGCAGGGCCAGAGTAGAGAGGGCCTTGTATGCCACAGTATGAATCTGGACATTGTCCTGCCCTCCAGCAGTGAGGCCTTCGTTAGGGAGGCTGGGAGCAGAGTTAGAGTAGAAAAACAGAGTATCCCCTAGTTCACAGTAACACAGACCCTAAGCCCCCGGCTCACATTCTTTTTCATGTCAGCTGCCTTCAAGGCCTTCAAGAACTCCTTCTCAATGTCCTAGGAAACTTGGCACAACCCTGCAGCCACTTGAAGGCTATGCCGCTCCCATCAAAGGTGCACCTCTAGGTCCTGACTCAGTGTAGAGAATCTGATGATGACCACCCATGGGGAAACCAGAACTGTCTTAGTTGATCCAAGACCAGGAATGTTTCACTCCGGGGATTGGGGCCTACAGATGGCTCAGAGGTACCCTAAGTATAAGATCTCAGTCACAGGTACTTGGATGAAGCAGTTTCTCTTCTGGAATATTTCTTAGGGAAATGAGCACCGTCTGCCAAAGCCTGGCTTGCCTCTTTGAAAATGTAGATCTCAGACTTTTATATGTTGATTTTTGTCCGCTCTCTTCTGATACTTAGATCTAGATCCTCAATTTCCTTCATTATTTGTTTGATTCTTTTTGGTACCAAAGCCTGTTTCCTTTACAATGCCGAATTCATTTATGAATTTATGCTCAGCAGAGAGGATGGGAAGGGGAACTCACATGCACTGAGTACTTAGAATAGGCCAGACATTAAGCCCTGTTCCAAATGAACAACTCTCCTATTGGGTAGTTGATTATTATTCCAAAGTTATCTGATATGGAACATAAATCTTAGAGAGATTATAATATACTGGTCCAGTGTCATGTGTATGGAAAAAGCCCATATTTTGTTCATTATCCCACACTACTCATCCAAGAGAAAAAGGAAGATGAACTTTATATTTTTAGTCAGCCTATGCAATTCAAGGTTGTACTCATCCCATCCGATGCTTTGGTCAATCTTCTTTCTATAAAGGCCACAAATGCCCTGAAAAGTCTGTGGTCCAGCCGTGGGTCAGAGCAGTGGGGGCTCTTCAGCAGCTCTGAAAGGAGTGTGTCTTTTCCCTTCTTGTTGCTTTTTGCTTCCCTACTCCTTGCAAATTCCCTACCGAAGAAGAATGCTACGGCCTTTTACCCTGTGCCACTTCATGTGGTTGCTGTGGCATCATCTTGGAACAAGTCTATAATCCTTTTCCAGGCCTGTCTGTGGGCATGAAGACTCCTGTAGACTGTAGCTGGGTTAAAGGAGTCCAGCCCAAAGGACTCCATGTCTGCACCTGCAGAAGCTCTACCATTAGCTGGGAGTACTCCACTAAAAATGACTTGGAGGGCTTGCTGGATGCTGTTTGTATTCAAAGCAGAACCAAGAGGTACCAAGGTCCTATTGCTGGACCTCCTCATTCAGTTGTGCTGGCCACATCTGGTACCTAAATATAGACCCTGGCACTGCTGGTTTTATACCCCACTCTCTGTCTGTCTTTATGGGGTGAACATTTTCTCCAAGCAAGATGGGGTAAATTAACAGAGGGGCGAATCATCCTAGTGCAGTGGAAAGTGCACTTGCCTCTCTGCCACTTGTGGGGGAGAACTCACCCCCTTCCTTGTCGCCTAGTTCCCAGTCAGGGAATTGGGCCACCTTCTTCTTAACTGTATAAATTTTACAGTGCTCTCACACCAGCTCATGTTCTCTGTTTACTCTACAAACCATCTTTCTTGCTCAGCCAGCAAGAAAATGTTTAAAGTGATTGCCTGCTTATATGTAAAATGCTTCCAGACTGCAGACCTCTTTGGTGCTCACAGATTTGCATGGGAAGAGAAAGTTTAAAGCTTTATGAGTTGAAAGTTCAGACTTATCACTAGATCTAATGCTAGTCAGCGGAAGTTCCAGTGGCTTTTAAACAGTTAAGTGGGTTTTAGCTGAAAGATATAACTATTTCATTATTTATTCATCTTTCAACTTTTAATGATTAGAAACAGCCTGCTTAGTAGTCTCTGAACCGAAGTTCCTGATCTGGGGAGTCTTACCCTTAACTCTTGGGGGAGGAGGCCATAATATCTTTAGACATATTACAAAGATGTCTGCTACCTTTATTTCCCAAACCACCCCAACTGAGTTACTTTATTTAAAGAGAAAGTGTATGTTTGTCTTTAGGTTAATAGTTTCCTGCTGGTTCTACAGAAAGAACGTATGATTTTATCCATCTACTGTGCAGAGAAGCTGGGCTTCAGCCTCTAAGTAATGCCTATGGAGACAAGTTGCCAGGTGTTGAAGGAAAATGTATGTTTCAACACATGTTTTCATCCAGGCCATAAGTTTTTTCATTGTAGTTGTATTGGGTTCTGAGTGCTAGCAGGTCTCTTTCTGACCATTATAAATTACATCATTTTCTTGACACAACAACCCCGGATTATGACAAACACCATATTAATACCTACCAAAAGAGATGCACACATAATAGGGTAAAAAAGCTTAGAGGTGTTTTTTCTAATATTTTATTTATTTGAGAGAGAGATAGCAAGAGCAGGAACACAAACAGGGGGAGTGAGAGAAGGAGAAGCAGACACCCGCCGAGGTGGGAGCCTGATGCGGGGCTCGATCCCAGGACCCTGGGATCAGGACCTGAGTTGAAGACAGACGCTTAATGACTGAGCCACCCAGGCCCCCCAAAAAGCTTAGAGTCTTAATTGGCCTTTATGTTCCACACTTTATAGAATTAGAGTTGACATGGTTTGGCCCTATTGAAAAGTAAAATTACTCATCCAAGAGAAAAAGGAAGTTCTCTTTGCTCAAAGGAAAACTCAAGTTTTGCTGTTGGACTTTGCTGGGGTCATTAGTAGCCTAGATGTTTGTAGTGGTTCCACTAAATCTTTTGACTGGCAAACCTCCACAGACCCAATGTCTTGAATGGTTTCCTTTACCTCCTGCATGGTTGCAGTTCCTTATTCTGAGACACGGCTGTTCTCCTAAGACTGAGTCATTATTCTGTTGCTTTTGCATTTTAGGCTTCCGGGTCCTACCGCAAGGGTATCCACTGCGGGCAGCGAAGCCAAAACACGTGGAGGGTCAGCCACTGCTAACAACCGACGCAGCCAGAGCTTTAACAACTATGACAAGTCCAAACCAGTCACCTCCCCACTTCCACCACCACCACCACCAAGCAGCCACGAGAAAGGTAAGTCAACTTCTTGATGGTCCTTTTTGGCATCTTCCTTTACAGCAGATCCAGTTGCTTTGGGTGAGTTTGGTCAGGGTTGGGAGCAGGGTGCAAATAGGATGGTGGGCATGGGCCACAGGATATACTTGGCTGGCAGGAACTTTGTTAGCAGAGGCATTAATAAAATGGGGGAAATATGTTCATAGTTGCTAGCAGGAATACCTGTATCTGTTTCAGTGGGGGCCCAGAAGACACCTGATTACAGAGAGAAGCGATCTAGCATTTACAATTTGAAAATAAACTTTCATAGAATGTACTCTGTATGGTAGATGGTTTTCCAGAAATGCAAGCTTCTTGGAGGGTGCATTGTGTGAAATGATAAGATTTTTACCCATCAAAAGTGATACAAGGGGAGTTAAAAAGAAGGGGGTTTTCTCCCTTCGAAAAAGACATGGGGGTCGGCCAAATGAATATCTTGGCTACATATAAGGAATATACAACATTATTCTTGGTGTTCTGATGATGTAACTTTTACCAAAAGAGGATATAACTGTTTGCTATACATAGCCCTGAGATTTTAGGATGCGGGGAAAAGGTGAGTAGCACTGTGGGGGGCTATTGCACAGAAGGTAGTGAAACAAACCTTTGCTCGCTTCAGTCTGTGTCCTGTGGGACATTGGAGAAAACTGAGTCAGCTTAGAAGATTTTACGGTAGGAGGCAGAGTCCTCCTTCATTCCTCCCAGGCAAAGGGGTCTAGACTTCTTGGCGGGGGGACATGCTCAGATCTCTTGAAAGCATTTTCTACCTGGTAGGATTTGTCCTAGATGTGTCTCTTACTCTCCCGAGACCCAAGAGAGCTGCCTCGCACTCCCTGAAGTGCTCCAGGAGCCTGGACAGCCCTCCCACTGTGAATGAGGTCAGAGCCTCCCTGACCTACCCCTCTAGCCCAGGATGACTTGGAGCTGGGTTTCTGCCCTACCCCCACCTAGAATACTTGAGAAAATATGAAGGAAACTTTTGTATGGTTGACATATATATGGCAGAAGGTTTTGCCTACAGGGTGTTGGAAACTCTGCAGCTAGCAGTAGGATGTCTCAACCAGTCAAGATTCTTTGTGATCCAGCCCTTGGCTTCTGCCTTAAGAAAATCATTTTTCTTCTTCTCTCTTTCCCCCTCTTCCCCTCCCCTCCTTTTCTTTTCTTCAACCATACCCAAGCATGTTTTCAAAAATGTGTTCTTTTCAAAAGTGTGTTCTTTTTAAAAGTGTGTCTAAATTGCAAAAATAATATATGCTTGTAAAATGGTACAAGTACCTATCAAATAAAAGTTCTCCTTTACATGCTCCCTGAAGGATACTAATATAAACCGTCCTATGTATATTCTTCTGGAACTAATTTCACAATATATTTACACACGCGCGCGCACGCACAATATATATAGAAAGGTGTTTTATATAAATAAATAAGAACTACATTTTATTGAGTACCTCCTGTGTGCCTCACTGAATCCCCCAACAAGCTATGTTGTTATCCCCATCTTACAAAGGATAGACTCAGGCAAAGAGAGGTTAAATACTTGCTGAGGCCACACCAGAGATGGTGAGAGGTAGAGTTGGACCTGAACCCAGGCACCTTGGTTCCAGAACCATGATTAATACTGTGCTTTTCCTGCAAGCAGAAAAGAAATGCTCAAAGCCTTGCCCATTGAAGGTTGGAGATGTGCAGGTTGAGCAAGACGGGGGAGCTAAGAGGATCCGGGCGGGGGGCAACCTGTGTAGAGCCCTCTGCTGGGCCATTCCGTCCTTGTCCCATGGTCATCTGGGGAGAAGTTGTCACAAAAATGTCTGAAGGATGGATGTGAGACCAATATCCAAAAGACTGAGAAAAGAAAGAAAAGCTCCTCATGGATAGAACTGATAGGGGAGGGTGAAGGGTTGGTAGCTGGAATGTTGTCCCAGAGCCTAGCACAGATACAGGGCCACTCAGGCAGCCCACCAGGTGCTGGGACGGCCACCAGTCTGCCCCTGTCCTGGGCACGGGCTGTCATGTGCACACCGAGCAGCCAGGGAGCCACACGCCTGTCAAGGACGGCAGCTGCAAATTCTAATGGAGGCATTGCCCCAGGGAAGGACTGTTGGGTCAGAAGAAAGAGAAGTCAAGACTTATTTATTGAGCAGGTGTTATTTGCCAGGGACTTTGATTGTCACTGTGTTACTTGATCTTCACAAACATTCTGTGTGGTAAATATTATTAACCCAGTTTTATAGGTAAATGGAGCTGAGATTTACTCACTTACCACCCCGCCCCCCCCCCCCCCCCCCCCGGTAATTGAGCCCTGGAATTCATATCGAGGTTCGACTTCTGGATTTGAACTCTGGCTCTGTCCTGTCCCCTGGGAAGTCTACAGTGAGGATCAATTTTGTGATCTGTGACTCTCAGAAAATCTGCTGAGGATTCGCTTTTGAAAGGATAAAAATAACCGACCGGGTTTCCAGGTGCACCAAAGTAGATGCATTTTCCCCTCTCGATCCTGGAGAGCTTAGGCAAAGCAGGCATGCGGCAGACCCAGGTATTTTTTATAGTAACAATTCACCACCATCCGGAGGTAAAGGGACAGTTCAATTTTACCTTCAGGGGCTTTTATATTTACTCCTCCTTGCTCACCGTCCCTCTGTCCTCCGTTGAATCTGATCTTGATTGCTGCTTATGGGGTAGCCAGACCCAAGAAACATATGGTATGTGGGGAGAGACGTAGCTCTACCACCTGGCCATGTGGGAGCCACAACAGGTTCTTGGATGCACAACATAGCATCCCTCATCTTGAGAAGTCTTGGAGAGATGCGCACTAGTGAGCAGAGAAATTGTAGCTCAGCGTGATTGGTGCTGTAGTGGAGGTATGGACTGCTTTCAGATGAGTTAAAGTCCATGATGTGACCTCATGACCTGTCCTTCTAGAAGCTTTCTTGTGAGTCAGCCAAGCCCTGATGGCATCGTGTGCTGGCACTTCACTCTCAGGTAAACCAATTCATGTGCTTGTGTGTGTGACCCGATGGGCCAGAATTCTCCTTCTAGGAATTGATCTAATCACACCAGTAAGGGGAATGAGAAATTGAGTATTCTGTCAGTAAATGACAAAAATATTGCAACACTGGGTCCTGATGTTTTCAAAAGGATGAAGAGTAAAAGGAAATTGTATAATAGGCAACTTTTCCAAAGCCTGGAGCACTTAATTCTTTGTGAGCAAATACTAAAAGATTCCTCTTAAAATCACGCCCAAAGAGGCAAATGCCCTCCTTCCATGACCAAATTTAAAATTTAGTTCTGATCACACAGAACAGTCAACTGAGATGTGAAAACAGAAGAAAGGTAATAGATACATAAAATACTCCACAGTGAGAAAAAGTCTAGGGGCACACTCAATTTATTAGCTCATTCCATGGGGTGACCAAGTACATGGTTGATATATAAAACCCAGGAATGTCCCTGTAGAGCAACGTAACCTATTCGTTTTCCCGAAGACTCACGTCTCAGATTTTGCCTGTGAGGTTTGGAGGAAAGTCTACAGATACTTAGCCTTTAGGAAAACCTGCTAGTTGTTGTGTAGTCGTCCCTGGCGTGGTTAGATTTGTCTTTGGCTTCATTCTCTCGCTCCTGCGGGCGGCGGGCGGGCACGACCTTACCTGGCCTGCAGGATGTGACGAACAGGATCCCCCACGAAACATCTGTCGAGGGATGGCTTGGGAGCATGAACCCTCCTCACTTCCTCTTTTGGCTCCGAGTGGCCCTCAGGCTCCAGAGCAGAATCCCAGATTTTCGGGGAGAGGAAATAGCTGTCGTGTTCAACATTCGTGACATTATCTTTTCCTTCCATCCCCTCACGTACATCCTCTGCATGGGTTAGCGCTGCCAGAAATCTCCTACGTCTCTAAAGTGTTTGGTCCATCACGTGAATTTGAAATGTTTAGTATTCCTAAACTAAATTCTGTGCAAATGGAAGACGTTCTCTCCTGAGTGACAGGGTTTTCTTCATTTTGGAGAAAGCGTATCCTTATTATATTTTCATGATATAAATCATCCTGTAAAAAATTGTCAAACAACACAAATGTATTGAAAGAAAGGGAACTCTTCATAATCCCCGCCTCTCAGAATAAGCCACTGTTTATCACTTAGTTTATATTCTTCTGTACTTTCTTTACGCATATACTATCACATTTTGATAAATTTTTCCTAGTGTTTGCTGAGTACTATTCTAAGGGCTTTATAAGAAATAATTTAATTCTTACAGGAGCTCTGTACATACTACATTCACACACGCTCACACATGTTGTATAGGACTTAAAATCTTATAAATAAGATCAACAAATCATGGCCAGCCCTTTTATAGGTTTTTCTCTCTTTATAATAGTTGCAGAGTACTCCATTACATGAATTTACCTTCATATTTGTAACTACTTTCATTTCAGTTACCTCTAATTTTTTGATATTATAAGTAGCACTGATATTAACATCCTCATGTCTTTTTTTGCATGTATGCACCATCTCAGTGGAATTGCTGCATAAAGGGTATACGCGTTACAGCTGTTTTAACATTGCCAAATTTTGCTTCCAGAAGGTTACACCTATGTCTGTTTCCATCAACAATGTGTGAGAGACTAGTTTCCCTACACACTTGACACCACGTCTGTTTTCACTCTCTTGGGCAAAAAATACTCTGTCTTTGAAATGAGGCAAATTACTTTAAGAAGCTGAAAGAACAAGATCATTTGCTTAAAAACTGGCCCTTTTTATTGACGCTTTGCTGTGAGTTACAACTAGTGACCTTGGCATAGTACAGAAAGCACTTGGGTTTGAGAGCAAGCTGCCTGCCAACTAGCGTGGCCTCACTCAATACGCTTAATTTCTCCAGGCCTCAGTTTCCCCTTCTCTAAAGTGAGTCTGAGGTCGTCTGTCACCAAGCCACCGTGAGGTGTGAATGCTTGTTTTCCCCGACCCTTTGGCCTTGGCTAGTGGGAACCCCA